GACATTTTTGGCTGATAATTCTTTACTGTGGGCTATTTATGCATTGCAGGGTGTTTAGCAGCACCCCTGGCCTCTACCCGCTACATGCCAGTTGCAGCCCCCAAGATGTGACCACTAAAAATGTCTCCAGATATTGCCAAGTGTGGGGGCAGGGGAGGAAGGAAAATAAAATCTCCCTTGGATGAGAACCAGTGTTTTAAAGACAAGTCTTTTGTCCCTGCTTTATCAATGAGTTAACTCATGGAATTAACTTTTTCTTTTGGAGCTTTTTTTCCCCTTCTGGCATTATTTTAATCCTATATAATAAAAGCCTAATATGCTAAGTGTCTGGTCACCCAGTCAGCCATTCAACCAATCAAAGCATAATATGCTAAGGCCGTTCAACTGCTTGCTATGACATGCACTGACCACCAGGGGGCAGACGCTCTGACCGGTAGGTTAGCTTGCTGCTGGGGTCCGGCCAATCAAGACTGAGCGAGACAGGCCAGACACACCCTGGAGCCCTCCCACGGTCCTTCCCCGGCTGACCAACCTCCCGCGTCCCTCCCCAGTACCGATCACACACCAGTGGGGTCCCTCAGCCTGGCCTGTGCCCTCTCACAATCCGGGCCGAGGGACCCCCCCTCCCCCCCATGCCAAGTGCATGAATTTTGTGCACTGGGCCTCTGGTTGAGATATAATTGACATGCAGCATTAAGTAGGTTTAAGGTGTACAGCATGTTGATTTGATACATTTATATATTGCAATATCATGTCACATAATAATCAGTTATAATCTCTTATTTATGATGAGAACAATTAAGATCTAATCTCTTAATGACTTTGAAGTTTATAATACAGTGTTGTTATCTATATTCACTATTCTGTATGTTAGATCTCCAGGACTTATTGATCTACTAGTTGCAAGTTTGTACCCTTATACAACATCTCCCCAGTCCCCTCACCCCCACCTCAGTCCCTGGTAACCACAATCCTACTCTGTTTCTACGAGCTCAGTTTTTTTTAGATGCTACATTAGTGTACAGGGTTGGGCAAAAATAGGTTTACCATTGTGAATACACAAAACACAGAGTTTATTCTTGTATTATTATTTATTCTTGTATTATATATTTATGTGAACAACTAGAACCTACTTTTGCACACCCCTGGTATAAGTGAAACCATACAGTATTTGTCTTTTTGTGTCTGACATATCTCACTTAGCATAACATCCTCCAGGTCTATCCATTTTGTCACAAATGGCAGAATGTCTTTCTTTCTCTTGGCTGAATAATATTCTATTATATACATGTATCCTTTGGACTTTTTGTTGAAGTATAACATGCATACAGAAAAGTGCATGAATCTTAAGAGTACAGTTCAATGAGTTGTCATAAACTGAACACACCTGTGCTGCTGGAACCTAAGCCAGGGAACCAATAAACACCAGGTCTCCAGCTGCCACCTTGATCCTCTTCCCATCCCTACCCTCCACCCACTCACACACAGCTAGTGATAGATGATAGTGTCCAAGACCAATGGAGGTGGAAAGTGGTTGAAATTTAGATATATAAGGTATCCCCAAAAATGTATATACACACTTTGAATAATTATAAAGGCAATGTTTATTAAAATACACTTCATTTTCAAAATTGAGCTATCAGCTGTTAAAATGTGTATACATTTTGGGGGGACACCCTGTATTTTGAAGGAAGAGCCAACCAGGATTTCCTGCAAGATTGGGCATGGATGTAAAGGAGAGAGAGATTTTTTATCTGATCATTTGGAAAAACGGAGTTGCCATCAACCAACATGGGGAAGGCTAGAGTGGGTTTGGGTGGGGAGAGATCAGACATTTGGTTTTGAACATGTGGTGAAGTGTAGATGTATAATGCTGGAGTTCAGGAGAGAAGTCCACACTTGAGAAATAAGTCAGAGTTGCCAGCATAAAGATGATACCCAAAGCCATGAGGCTACAGGAGCTCAAGGCAGAGAATATAGATAAACAACAGAAGAGAACAGAGCTCACCGCCTTCCAACATTAAAAGTTTAGGAACCAGCCAAGAATACTGAGAACAAGCAGTGAGTGAAGTAAGAGGCAACCAGGGGAAAGGTTGGAAGTAAGTCAGAGTTTCCAGCATAAAGATGATACCCAAAGCCATGAGACTACAGGAGCTCATCAAGGCAGAGAATTATAGATAAACAACAGAAGAGAACCGAGCTCACCGCCTTCCAACATTAAAGGTTTAGGAACCAGCCAAGAATACTGAGAACGAGCAGTGAGTGAAGTAAGAGGCAACCAGGGGAAAGGTTTAACCTAGAAGTCAAGATAGAAGAGTGTGATCAATTATGTCAAGTGTGGTTAACAGGTTAAACAACCATTGGCTTTAGCAACATGAAGGTCAACATGGAAGTCACTGGTGAACCTTCACCAAAGCCTTTTCACTGGATTGCTGGAGGCTAGAGCCTGACTGGAGTAAGATTTTTTTTAAATGGAAGGGGAAGAACTGAAAATAGGGAACACTAGTATATAAATATCTTCTCAGTTTTGATACAAAGGGAAGAAATGAAGTGGTAGCTGGTAGAGAACGTGGGGTCAAGAAAAAAAAAGATGCTTGTGTTTGTTTGTTTGTTATTTTAGAATAGTTTTAGATTTATAGAATTATTGTGAAGATAGTACAGAGTTCTCAGATATCCCTTACCCAGTTTCCCTATTATTAACATCTTACATTAGTATGGCACATTTGTCATTATTCACGAGCCAACATTGATACAGCATTATTTACTTAAATCAGTAGTTTATTCAGATTTCCTTAACTTTCCTATAATGTCCTTTTTCTGTTCCAGGATTCCATCCAGGAGACCACGTGACATTTAGTGGTCATGTCCCTTAGGCTCCCCTTCTTTTTTATGACCTTGATGGTTTTTATGATTATTAGTTGGGTGGTTTGTAAAATTTCCCTCACTTTGGATTTGCCTGTTGTTTTTCTCACGATTAGGCTGAAGTACTGTGTTTTAGGGAGGAAGTCCACGGAGGTAAAGGGCTATTCTCATCACCTCATGTCAAGTTACATACTATCAACGTGTGTGTCTTATTTCTTCACTATAAAGTTATTTTTTTTCCTTTCCATGCTGTACTCTTTGGACAAAAATCACTGTGTACAGGCCTACATTTTAAAAATGAGGAGTTATGCTTCACCCCTTTAAGGGTAGAGTATTTACATAAATTATTTGGAATTCTTTATGGAAGATTTGTCTCTTCTCCATTAATTTACTTACTCAATTATTAATTTATATCAGCATGAATTCATGAATATTTATCTTATACTCTGAGTTATAATCTGATACTTTATTTTCTTGCTCAAATTGTTCCAGATTTGGCCTTTGGGAGCTCTTTCAGTTGGCTCTTTTATCCCTCTGACATACATACTCCCCTCATTACCAGGTAGTTTGTTTGTCTCTTTCCTTCTTTCTTTCTTAGCACATCTTTACTTTCTGTCACTACAAGATGTTACAGTCTCATCTTGTAAATTTCCTGCCCAAGCCCTAGAATCAGTCATTTCTCTAAGGAGCCCAGTTCCAAGGGTGTTTTTTAAAATGGAAGAAAAAATAGTATGTTACATAATGATGAGAATTATCCACAAAGGAGAAGAATAATGATGTAGGAGGAGAAGGAAGAATTGATGGAGTGATGTACTTAAATAGTCAAAGGGAGATGGGAACTAGTACATTAGTGGAGGGAATGTGTCTAGACAACAGCACAAACAGTGCACCTATGGGCACATGTAGGAAGTCAGAATGGGTGAATGCAGATGCTGGAACATGGGGAGATGAGGTTGTGGGAGTCAGTGTGAGCTCACTTCTGATTGCTCCACTTTTCCCAGTGAGGTAAGAGGCCTGGTTATCAGCTGAGAGGAGAAGAGGTTTGAGAAGAGAAAAGAGGTGTAAAATGGTTGTTTAAGAAAGTGGAAGGTGCTATGGAAAACAGTATGGAGATTCCTCAAAAATAGATTATCCTATTTTTCTTAAAAATATAATTACCATATGACTCACAAATCCCACCCCTGGGTATTTATCCAAAAGGGTTGAAATCAGGATCTCAAAAGATACCAGTATTTCAATGTTTCATGCAGCACTGTTCACAATAGTCAAGATGTGGAAACAACCTGACCATTGTTTCCAGTTGGAGGATGAATAAAAAATATTGGTATAGACACACAATGGAATATTATTCAGCCTTAAAAAAGAAGGAAATTCTGCAGTATGAAACAACATGGATAAACCTTAAGGACATTGTGCTAAGTGAAATAAGCCAATCACAGAAAGACAAATACGACATGATTCCACTTATATGAGGAATCTAAAATGGTCAAACTCATGAAGAAAGTGGAATGATGGGTGACAGGGGCTGGGGAAGAAGGAAATGGGGAACTAATCAACAGACATAAAATTTCATGGAGTAAGAACGTGGAATGATGGGTGACAGGGGCTGGTGAAGAAGGAAATGGGGAACTAATCAACAGACATAAAATCTCAATTATGCAAGATGAATAAATTCTAGAGATCTGCACAACATTTTACCTATAGTTAACAATACTGCATTGTACACTTAAAATTGTAGTAACAGTATATATCTCATGTTGAATGTTTTTACCGCAACACAATAAAGTTTTGAAAAAAGAAAGTAGGAGAGTGAATGGAGTAGGAAAGTGCAATGTGGTTGTCTGGCAGTGTTAAGGGCCCATTTGAGGTTCATGGCAAGGCTGATGAAGTTTTGTGTATTTCTTCAGCCATGTTCAGCTTCTCAAGGGCAGGTCCAGAGTAGGCAAAGAGTTGAATTTAACCAGGATTATGACTTTGTCAGGCATACGATGCAAGAAAGGGACTGAGGAGTCAAGAGTACACGCAAGGGGGCAATTATGATTATTGGCAATCGTTTTGAGTTGGGAAGGGTGAGGAAGCGAGGGCATGATGTAGTAGAAAAAGGAGATCAATGGGGCGGGGGGGCGGGGACTGTTTTTCTGCCAAGGGCCACTTGGATATTTATAACATCATTCACAAGCCATACAAAAGTATCAACTTAGCCCTAACTAGTTTGGCTCAGTGGATAGAGCGTCGGCCTGTGGACTGCAGGGTCCCAGGTTTGATTCCGGTCAAGGGCACATGCCCAGGTTGTGGGCTCGATCCCCAGTAGGGGGCATGCAGGAGGCAGCTGATCAATGATTCTCATCATTGATGTTTCTATCTCTCCCTCTCCCTTCCTCTCTGAAATATATATATTTAAGTATGAACTTAACAATTAGCCTACTATATTTGGTCAAACATTTAGTTAACTCACCCCTAAAGCCTTGGCAGGGCCAGACCAAATGATTTTGCAGACCTTAAATGGCCTGCAGGCTGGACATTCCCCACCCCTGGTTTAGAGCTTCACATAAGTAATCACAGGAAGAAAGGGGTTAAGAACAGGCTTTAGCACTTCTGAGCTGTGTGACCTTGGGCAAACTGTTAACCTATCCCTATGTCCTCACCTGTTAAAGTGGGATCATAAGAGAGGCTGCCGCCCTAACCGGTTTGGCTCAGTGGATAGAACATCAGCCTGCGGACTCAAGGGTCCCAGGTTCGATTCCGGTCAAGGGCATGTACCTTGGTTGCGGGCACATCCCCAGTAGGGAGTGTGCAGGAGGCAGCTGATCAATGTTTCTCTCTCATCGATGTTTCTAACTCTCTATCCCTCTCCCTTCCTCTCTGTAAAAAATCAATAAAATATATTAAAAAAATATTCACACACTATGAAAAAAAAACAGCTGAAAAAAAAGAGAGAGAGAGAGAGAGAGAGAGAGAGAGCACACTATGAAAAAAAACAGCTGGGAAAAAAAAGAGAGAGAGAGAGAGAGGCTGCCTCCCAGACTGTTATGATAAGGATCAAATGAGATGTTGCTAGTAGGATGCTTAGAACAGTGATTCTCCAAGTGTAGACCCTGGACCACTAGCATTAGCATCACCTAGGAATGTTAGAAAGGCAAATCCTTCCCAGATACCTACTTAATCAGAAACTCTTGGGATGAGGCCCAGAAATCTGTCTTAACAAGCCCTCAAAATAATGTTGATGCAAGCTTGAGTTTAAGTATTATTAGAACAATACCAATGATTCACAGGAAAAACAGAAAGACACTTCTAATTATCATTATTACTGTTGTTATTGTTGCAAAGTAGCTTTCTAGGGCAAGAATGGATTGAAATAATAGTAAATAAGAGTTATTACTTATTAATAAGTTTCTAGGTAATAATCTAAGTACTTTACATGCATTATTTCAGCTAATTCTGTCAATAAACTCTGAGATAACTTTTATTATTATTCCCAATTTACAGTTGATGAAATGGGGCTCATATTAAATAGCATGCAGAAAGTCATGCAAGCAGTAAGTGGCAAGATTTGGATTTAAACTCCATCCAGAAGCCCAGAAAACCAAACTCTTTGGAATGTCACTTTTAATATCCCTAACCAAAGGTAAGGAGAAAGTTGTTGTTACTAATAAAATAAAAGATGTATTAAAAAATTTTTGAATTTTGAAAAATGTTTAGATGGCATTATGAGTTTGATAACCAAGAGTGCACTAACCAACCAGCATTAGGGAAAAGCATTTTGAATCAACAGACATCAACACTGGCATTTAGACATCCCTATCTATATATATTAAAGGATAATATGCAAAGTGTCCCCTCGGGAGTTCAACCGGGACATAAGGGTGTTCGATCACTCGCTATGATGTGCGCTGACCACCAGGAGGCGGCACAGAACATGGCGGGCAACCAGCAGTGGCGGCAGGGCACTGAGGGAGTAAGGGAAGGAGGAGGCGGAGAGGCAGGGAACCTGATCAGCCCTGAATGCTGGCCAGGCCTCGGGACCCTACCTGTGCACGGATTTCGTGCACCGGGCCTCTAGTCATGTAATAAAAAAAGGAAGCCATTAACTTTTTCAGTAAATGGATAATTTATCCCCCCCCCCCAAAAAAGACACTTTCATTTACAAATACATGTTTAAAGTGAACATATTCATTCTCTAGAGCATAAAAAAGTTGGCATTAAAATTTTGAAAGGAAAATAATTACAGTCAATGAATGAATGACATTGGTGAATTTCAATTCAGTTCTTCTCTTTTGCTTTTATTTATTACTAGAGGCCCGGTGCATGAAAATTCATGCACTGGAGCGGGGGTGTCCCTCAGCCCGGCCTGCCCTCTCTCACAGTCTGGGAGCC